TGTTATCAAATGATTCATAGGATCATAAACAGCATTGTTTTACTTGTATTTTATTATCATTTAAACAAAGTAATAAAAAAAAAGTTTCAAAGGACGAATACATTAATTCTAAATATTAATTTTAAACATTGCATGGAAAAGTATAAGTAAATGTTAAAATATTTTGTTGAAATATTTATTATTTTTGTAGTTACTTTCAGTTTTTGATGTTACAGATGTTTAAATTGTAATCAATTTCAATGTGAAGACTTTGACTCTTTTGCATTTTGAAGACTCTGTGTGATGTATAACTTTGCTAAGCTCTGAGCACAGAATTGAGATATGTGTTCACTGTATGTATTAATTTGTCCAGCTACAATCATTGGATTCAGCCTTGGTGGAACAGGTAAAGGTCTCATCAGTTTATTGATATCGTCATCTGGCAATGGAGGTTCATCTTTAGCAGCCCTAGCTGCATTTTCTTGGGCTCTCTTAGCTAATAATCTGTTCTTCTCTTGCTGTTGACGAACAACCAACTGTTGGTATCTATTAAACTTCATGGCCTCTTGATTCAATTCATCTACACGATCCATTAGACAACGTAACTGATTTTCTAGAACAGTGGCAGTTCCTAGGTCCAAGTATTTAGTACCTTCTTCTTCAGGAATCATTTCTTCCAACTCGGACATCATTATGTTAGTCAAATTACTGTTCTTTATTACCACTGGAATTTCAATGAACAGGTTCTCATAACCGATTTTCAAAGTTCTTAATGCTTCCGGTGTAAACTCTCCTTCTTTGTACAACTGAATAGCTTGCGGTGTAAGCCTATAAGCTTTCAATGTCAAAAAACCTCTGGCTGACTTGGCTGTATCGTATATAAGAACTACTGATTCTTCTATGGAAGTTTGATAATGATATTGTGATTCCAATAGCGAAACATTCAGGAAGTTTCCAACGTCTGCACTCTGGTACCAACCAACATGGAAATGATCAACGTTTACCCTGTAAAAATATTCTTTTTATATTTGTTTACACTATTACGTTTTGCTATTACATTGTAACGTATGATTTACCATCTCAAACGACGCATCATGGCAAGTTGGTATTCTTCTTCGTCCATAATTTCGTCATTTTTTGGGAATGGAAAACAATTTGTGATCTCGAGTCGATGTTTAACTACCAAACCGAGAAGAGCACCTTGAGCAACATCCATGTTACTCAAAGACTCTTCGTGACAATGTTTCACCATTTTCATAACAACTAATCCATCGCACTGAACATAATCTATACGGGGTTCCACTTCGGGAATCCTTCTTGTCTGTGGTCTGGCATTCATTTTTTCAATAAAGAATAATTACAGTATAAAATGTTCGCATATGCGTGCGATTAGCTTTCTGTCAAACAGGTTAAGAACGAAAGGAAATCCTACACTTCGTGAAACATGATGGAGCATGGATTAATGCATCATAGATGGGTGTAGTGGTTGACAATGTGCTCTGTTTGATTGGTGGAGAAGAAGGAATTTCTTCACTTTTATTACATTGTTTATTCTATTTCTCTAAATTGATATGCATTAATAGCTTCTTATCATAACGTGTATGATTAACATTTAAATATTAATCTTCAAAGTGAAACGAGATCATAAAAACATCATGGCGCGATGTTCGCACAGGTCATAAGATGTAGCTGGAATTTTCCATACGGCGTACATACTCCAAACATTTATTCTATGCTATATTTTTATCGCGTAAATGTGAAATCTAATTGGTCAGTTTTTATCTCTTCTCATCTAATATTGATACTATTTTGCTATTTGTTAATACAGTTACACGTAGCCAATCAAAATTGTAGTCAAAACACATAGCGCGAGACACCACGTTCAAAAAATCCGCGCAAATCTCGTAAGTAACGAAGGGCACATTGTCCGTTGAAAATATTTAGTATTCATTTCGAAAATGAATTTTATTGAAGGGAAAATAAGAAAATGGATTATATTGATTCAAGCAGAAAAATTAAACGAAGTAATAGAAGATATCCAGGTCAGTCATACCTTCGAAAATAAATTTTATATTTGTTTTTATGATACATTTGTTACTTATCAAAAAAGAACTTGACTTTCTTGTTAGGTATTTCATTTAATAAAATTTCATTAATTCATACTTTTTTATTGATTTCAATTTCAGGCAAACACTTATTCGGACTCAACTGATAATATAAACAAATACATTTTTAAAGTATTGTTGTATTTGTCACATACTGCAGACAAATGCAATAAACAGAATTGTGTTATTGGTGTGGATATTTATAAGCTGACTTGTTTATTGTGTTCAATTCTGACTGAAATACCTGATACCAACAAATTTGCCTCTAGTTTATTCCATATAGTTCGTTGTTTATTAACTATAAATATGTATAAGGAAGCATTTGAGGTTTGTTGTTTTTTAGACACAAATATAATATGTTCTTCTCATATGGATATGAGTAACATACTAGTAAAAGTGGCTTATTTATGGAATAATTCTGTGAATAATGCATTCAGCATTTTACAAAGTGATTCTAAAAATGCCAGATATTATCATCAACTAAAAGAGATTATAAAGCATGAATTGGAAATAATACAAATAGTACATAAAAGTTACACAAAACATTTATTTATGAAGATAAGTTCGTATCTGGATAAACTTGCATCAATAAAAGAATCAGCCACTCATTTTAATGATTTTTCTGTCTTTATAATTGAATACTTGAAGGAAACTGAAATATTTTTGAAAGAAGAAGAGAACCATGTTATATCTCGTCAATTGCTGCACATAGTAAGCAGAATCATATGTGAAAATATTAATGAAAAAGGTATGAAATTTGGATTACAAATATTGGATGATCTAATCAACCATTTTAAAATAATTATAAGGGAAAATGAAGAGTGTTATGAATGCTATGAACAATTTAAATCATTTTGCCTGACAGTCATGAAACCGGCTGATATATTAGTAGAAAATAATGGTAATAGAATTAGAGATGTCTGTGATAATTATAAAAAAATTGCAAAAAAGTATGGTTACTCAGGATTTATTAAATGGATTACATTCAGTATTGGTCAGATTCTAGAGCCATTATTCATGTATTGGGAAACATGTATAAAAGTAGGAAATACAGCGTTTCTAAAGAATGGCATATTATTAGAGACCATGAATTTGGTTGCCGCAACAAGTAAATGTTTTGTTCATCATACATCGGATAAATGTAAATCTTGTCAGAACATAGAGTGTATGGTGAGGAAAGATATGTACAATGAAGTAGTAATAAAAACCAGATGTGTTAATTTAATTAGTAAGCTCTCTGCGAATGATTTATCACGAGATATTTATAGAATTGCACAAAGATTTTTGGAGCAAAATATAGCATATATTTATGAAATGAAAATGTCCAAATGCAAGTGTTGGCCACAGTTGTGGTCCTCATCTGGTGCTTTACTGTATAACATAGGCATCATGACTGAACGTTTTTATGAAGAAAGCGTGTCTTTACTTTCTTTACTATGTTCTTCTATCATACAGTTTGAGGGCATTCAACAGAAATCCTGCTACATTAATCTTCACAATCCCATATGCTTCACATTGCATAGAATATCTTCTCTACATTATAATCATGGTATGTATAGAGAAGCTATGACTGCATCTGCATTGAATGCTCTATTAAGTTATAACGATTCTGACTCAAAAGCATTTCGGATGTGGGCAAATATTAAACATAAATCCGTAACTTCCAAAGAAATAATGGACATTACTATATTATCCTGTTTGAAATCGGATAAGATAATAATAGAAAAATTAGGACTTACTATTGAATTATCTAAATACGACCTTGTTGAAATATGTTTAAAAGAAGCAAAAGGTTTGCAAGCAGCAAAAGTCAATCTTTCAGATGCCATTCATAAAGTTCTGGATGAAATGATAGCACTAAAAGCATCTCCAGTGCAGTATGCTCGAGGTGTTCAACTATTACTATATCATCTGCTAAACTTTGACTACAATGAGAATGTTTTAGACTGCTTGAAGCAAGCTGTCTTCAACTTAAAGCAGACGAACATAAGTAACTTTGTTTTATGTTTGCAAGCTAATTTGGAATTTTATATTTTTGTGGCACATTTAAATATTGCAAGTAAAAAAACTCAGATAGAAATGGAAAATATGAAATATGCATTATATGCTCCCAAGATATCAGAAATTGGAGAAAGCGAGTCTAGTGATGTTGTACCAGCTTATACCATGATAAATATTAAAGAAGATTCAAGACTTCGGATGTATTTGGAGGCAGCATTGAAAAAATGGAATAAATGTTTCAAACAAAATATTGTAAGTATAATTATAAAAAATATAGTTTATTACATTTCTAAGTGCTGCAATATTGATTATTTGCTTACAATTGATAGGAAGAAATTGTTAAAAGCTATGAAGGATCGGTAACACTTCATACATTAATTATAGCCGGCGAATACGCTCGTTTATATCGTTACCAGAAATGTGAAATTGATATATGGAAACTTGCATATAAGTTAGCTTGCCAGTTGCAAGACAATCGAGCAATTATTTATGGTATGACTGCTTTATTTCTCTGTCACACACGAATATAATAGTTATAGGTAATAATGAAATGTTTTCCTATTAGTCACTAGTCGAAGTATATCATTGAGATTCATTGACCCAAAATGGATAACAACTACCAAAGAGCTTGTAAATAAATTTGAAAATACCAAGGATGTAAACATGACTTATGTTATCGGTATCTTTTGGATAAGTTTATCAGACTTTTATTTTGAATGTAATATGGTGAGTCAATTATTTACAAATTATTAGTAATTATACAAATATTTATACAACTTTTATTGTCAGTATGAAAAAGCTAGGAAGCTACTAGATGAATCTAGAAAACTACCAGGAATCTCTTTCGTTTCTAATATAGCTGTGTATTTATACAGCTTGGACAGAATTTTGTACAATTGTTCATTCTACAAAGAGGATATGAGGCATGAAGAATACACTCGCTACATTGTTGAAACCTTATACACTCTAGTTAATTTGAGTGAAGAACTGTCTACAAGAAAATGTAAATATGCAACACCTTGCAAACGCTTTTTGAGCAGTATGAGTATTAAGCGTTGTTTTCTTTTCTAATTTCTGAAACATTAAAATAAATTATGTAACTTAATAATGAGTTACAGTTATAATAAATCATAAAATTGTCTCATTTTTTCCAGGGAAACCTCAAGACAAGCACCTCTTTGGCTTTGACATACTTCTATCTGCAACAATTAATTTGTCCCTACGAATGAACAGTTTGCTATCTTTTAGAGAAATTGGTGCCCACTTAGTACGACGACTAAGGACAGCGCAAGCTTTGGGAGCAACTATACGAGTTGCAGAAGTATTGAAATCACTCTGTTACATTGATTTGTCGCGTTCACAGTTAAACGACTGTGAAGTAAAATTGCAAGGCTTGGAACACATTTTAAATATTGAGACATTTAAAACGTCAGTGAATCCTAATTCAGTAAAAATGATCGCACAAAGCGTTTCGACCCCAGTTCGAATTATTGAACCTGTCAGAGACGTTCCACAAAACGATACATCGCCTATTCTGCGAAATAAATGTTTTGATTTTCCCGAATTTATGGACCATATCAATTGCAATTGTTATGCGTGTGAAAATTTGTCATACAAATATTTGGTATTCGTCAGCACTCATATTAGAGCCCAATTATATGCATTGCAAAAAAATTATTCCGCATCGTTACAACACTTCAACGGTGCGTTTAAAATAAAAGAAAAATTAATGAAGATAGAAAAATCTACGTCGAAAGATAAAAATGATTATTTCTCTTGGCAAGAACGGTTTTACAGTACAGATTACATACTTCTATTAAACAACTTCTCCTATTTTTTGAGAAGCTATCCGAAAATGAGACAAGATCCAATGAATATCCTTTTCTTAGCAAGTCAGTTATGTGACCTGTATAAACTTAAAGGGCATCCGGTTTATATGTCGACCAAGGAATTGATGTTCGATTGTGATTTTCAAAAGATAATTGACAGGCTAGATTACTCATGTAAGTATCTCTTAAATATTATATTGCTGTATTAAAGGGATTAATAAGCATTATTTTTTCTATAGCGTTTACTGTTCCTGACATATCAGACATTGATATAAGGAATTATGAAACAAAATCTAAAGCTGAAAACATTGTTTGCGTTACACCAATTGTTAATAACATTCGAACAAAGAAACCCGCTACTCTAAAGCGAAATCGAGATCCTCCGTTGCTGAAGCTAAATAAAATCAGTATGAACTTCAGCGATGACGAAGATAATACTTTCTCACCGCAGCCTGAATTTCGCAGAACAAGGTCACGTAGTAAATTAAGAAGAAGGAAGATTTTTAGTGACGAAGGTTTGGACAATTCAACAAAAACGAAAGAAGAAACTAACGAATCACATAAATTGAGTTTTCGAGAGTTTGCAGATGGACAGGAACAGAATGTTGATAATATTTTTATGAAAGATATTGTAAATAAAATTACATCACTGGCGCCTGATGTGTCGGAACATTTGCACAATGTTGCAGACAATTTGGAAGAACCTGCAACGAGTAGTAACATACAGAAATTGCTCAAGAGAATAGAAGACCTCAAGGTGAACGCAGTTTCACATACAGGTACTAGGAGAACGCGGCATTCGAAGCAACTGACTTCTAGCGATTGCAGTAAAATCGATAAAATAATTGCATTGTTTAATGAGCTAGAAATTGATCAACAAAAGAATAATTATGGTTCGACAAAACATGATGTAATACCTGATCCAAATGGAAGAATAAACGAGGAAAACAGTGTGGAGAGATTAGAACAAAATAAATTAACTGTTAAACAATACAACAAAATAGACAATGTAAAGAAAATACAAGTTAGCGAAAATACGACATCAAGAATTAGTAGGAAATCAGTAAAACAAAATACAACAACTAAGGAGACGTATAATACGAAACCTAGCAAATCCAAATAGATCATTGCATTTCTATAAATATATATTTTGTAAAAAATTGTAACTTATTTTGTAAAAAATTGTAACTATTTTGTAATAAAACTACTGTTGAAAAAATCAATGGAATGCCTTGCAGTTCTCCTGGGTTGATTTTTTAATATTCAAAGTATAGATTGTAAGAGTTGATAAATGTGGATGTTTAAAGTTTTAGAAAATATTTATTAAAATATTTCACATATATACATATTCAGTAAAAAATCGTAGAAGTTAAAATTACTTAACGACTACAAATAAAAGTCTACACTTTATTCTACCCATTCTTTTCTTTGTATCTATAACTACACTTTATAAATAATAACCATATTTGTTCCAATTAAATACTTTACAAACTTCGTTCAATATTTTTTTTAAAATCAAATTTTCCTTGCTAAATTTTTTGTT